GACGAAAAAGATGAAAGCGTATCAGATGATGAAGACAAATTATGTGAAACAGAAAATAATAGTTATCGACGATTAGACGAACTGGATCTGTATTTAGCATTGAAAATTGATAAAGACCGTCTGCCAATAAATCCACTTGAATTTTGGCATGAAAATCGAAGAACGTATCCAATTCTATCAAAAGTAGCCCGAAAAATACATTCCATACCCGCTACAACGGCCGAAAGGCAATTTAGCTCTGCTGGGCTTGTCGTAAAGAAGCGGCGATCAAGTATAAATCCAGAGCAAGTTGATAATGTTTTATTAATTCGTTCAGTTGAGAGAATGAACAGTTTATTGGAAAGAAAATAATTCTTTTTTGTTATTTTCTTGTTTCGTCTCTGTAGAGTATCATTGATGCTCTCGAACAGATTTTAACACTTTTTGTATGTACTGTAATAAAATGTTTCTTGGCAATGGTCGTGCTACTAATGGTTCCGACAGCATACCGAAGTTTGCTAAGTCCATTGGACTGTTTAGTCAATCTACTGAACTGCACTGGACTCAAAAAGATATTTTTCATGGACTAGATCTTTTTAGTCCATGGACTGGACTGGACTGGACTGAAAAAGCTGAGTCCATACGGAACTCTGATAGCTAGCCCAAATTGTGTACTAAAAAGTTATGTATCGCAAATTGCGGCATAATCATCTGCGACAACAAGAGCCACATACGTCACATTTTTTCCATTGAAGTTGTGCCACATTCTGTGGAGTATTTCTAGCATAGGCAACCAGTGGAAATTAAGTATTTTTGATCTCTTATACGGTTTCAAGAATATTTTCCGTTCGCTTTGGGTGCACTACGTAATGTCGACGAGCTCAATCCACCCCTAATATTCACTGGCAGAGCGACCGTTTGGGTGAGGGGTGGGTACCCTTCCCCTGCTTTCAGAAATTTCCTTGCCAATTTGCTCCGATTTAAGCCCAAAGTACGGGAAACGTAGTCCAATTTTGCGAAAGAATTAACTCAGTAAACGATACAATTCCTTCACACAGAACACGCACTGTAAGCGTAGGTTCAATGTCTTTATTGAGCAGAGTGCGGTTACTGAATTTAGTCAGAAAAATCAGTTTTCTTTGAGAGATTTGTATACTTTTCTAAAAGATCAAAATCTAAAAATAAGCGCTATGTTGATTCAAGATAGCCGAGGAAAACAGTGAGTTCATTTTTGGACCATTGTTGCTTTTTGCTAGAGCACGATAAGCGGTAGTAAACGAAGAATTGACTGGAAAAATTCCGTACTCCTATCAGAGCTGACAACTGTGATGGTTTGAACATCTTATATTCAGGTTCCAGCATGATATAATTCCATTCTGAGCGGCGGACACCTTTCATCTCTAGAAAGGCGTGTAACACAAAAGTCTTGAAAAGAGTTTGGTGTTTCTAGCCCTATTTGAATTTTTTATATGTATCAAAACTGTCTACTTTATTTTGATTCCAGAAGAAACACAAAAATATGTTATCGCCTTCTACAAAATTTTACTCTTTATTTATCAAGCATTTATTATTTCAGCTATCTTCAACACCAAAATATTATTTCTCATTGACTTTTTTCGTTGAACGGCGTACAGTTACAATGACGTCAACGGTGACCCCATCCATTAAAACTTATTCATCACTGACAAATAAGAATATGAAGTACAAATTAGAGAAAAGTTCAATATACACATATGCCAAAGCAACATTCAGTTTTTACAGAGATGAATTAGCATCAAAACGTAAGAAAAAATTTGTCTTGTATAATACTCGTGTTTATTAGTCCTCCAAGAGATGTTACGTCAGTAGCGAAATGCAGCATACAGTTTAAAATTCCTCTACATATTTTTCAGACTAGGAAATCCACATTTGGGTTCCTGTGAATCGACTTCCCACTGTATTTCCTGCACACAAACTAAAGTTTCCTCTCCTTACCAAGCTTCTACAGCAGCTCCTTCTCCTTCTTTCTTCATTTTAGAACGTTTATTATTTGAAGCTGCACTTTATAATAAATTAAAGACATTAAAATGATAAATAAAATAATCTCGAACGATATAAATTTGTCTTTAAAACCTTTGTTTTCTTCTTTTCTTTGTCTGCTGTAGTTTATTAGAGTTCAAACCAATAGACATCAATATTCGTCATCCATTAGGATGGACACCTTTACATGTTGCTGTTGTTAATTAGAATCAAGAGTAAGTAAAGTATAAAGATTTTTTTTCATTCGTTTAGAATTCAATTTGATTTTGTTGACGACTGAAGAACTTGTTTCTACTTTTTAAAGACGTTTCGCCTGAGTAATGAATGGCTTCTAAACTGAGTCTAACACTGTTGCGAAAGCATCCTACACACCGAAGTGGTATTACACCGAAGTGGTATTCCTCTCAAATGGGTAAAATTGTAGACGTGCTTTTTCATCATCATCATGAGTTTCTTTCTCTCCGTCTCTTCAATAACCTCAGATTTTTTTGTTTTCTAGATGCGTGAAATATTTATTATCAAAAGGTGCTAACCCAAATTTAGCCGATGAATATACTAATGTAAACGATATGGTTAAAAAATATTTCTCTCAATTCATAGATAACGGTAAATCTATTGTGCTTCCATTTGAGAAGCGGCGTCTGATATTAAAATAACCACAAAGATACCAACTCCTTTTGTTCTCATATTCCTACTGAATAAAAGTATCCTTGTACCAAAACATGGGAAGCTTCACGGTTTGCTCTCACAACAAAAATTCTTTAATGCGGTCGTGCAACTCTACCAACTGACTAGTTTCACACCAACTTTTCCATTTATTTTCCAGTGGAGATATGTTTATTAGCGTTTTGTCGCTTATAACCTCTGAGAGAAAGGCATAGTGGAAACTATAATCAGAAAAAAACTTTCTAATAGAACATATAATTTGCAGTTCAATTTAATCTTCGAAACGTTTCCTTCCAATGGGATTTTAGAGAAAAAACAATATAATAAACACAATTTCATTCTTCAAAACTTTTTAAAAAATTTTATTTTTGTAGAAAGCTTATTCAAATTACGCCTCTGTTTTTTTCTATCATATAAAAACTAACTTAAAATTATGTCGTTAATGTTTTCTCTTTATATTAAAGAATTAGGTAACCTAATTACTCGTGAGGACGAATTTTCTGATCGTTTACCAACATCAACAATATCAACATTTAAAGGTTTTATATGTTTACATTATGCTGTTTTATTAGATAATTTATCAATTATACAAGTTTTAATTGAACATCATGCTGACCCACTACTCGCAAATGAAGAAGGACATTTGCCGGCCGTATATGCAGGATCATCATCCAAAGAATGTAAAGATTTGATATTAGAATATGAAAAAAGGGTTAAAAAAACTGACTTTTTTTGCTTTTTAGCCTCTTGAAATTAGATTTAGATATTTTTCACATTAAATATGATTATCGAGAAATCAAATCGATAGAAGAGAAATCAAGAATTTCTCAACTAACCCTCCCTGTCGATTAAAAACTTTTTTTGGGTCGGTAAAAAAGCTGCACCCATTCCTGCCTTTTCGGATCGAAAAATTCTAACAGCCGCGTTCACTTCTGTATTAGAAAGATGTCTACCAGAGATCGAAACGGATCAACTAAACGTGAACCGAACCCTACCCTACCCGATCGAAATCAATATCTTTTACGTGTCCCGAACCCGATCCGACCCGAACGTGGGTTAATTCGAAACCGACCCGGCCGGATCCGAAAATTTTGCAACTGTGATCCGAACTCGGTCCCTGATGTCTACTAGTGCTAAAGCTACCAGAGAAAATCCATTGTTTGCTACCATTTTATTGACACTTTATGCCTTTCGCCGTACATGATTGTTCTCTCTTTTTCTGATTGTCTAGGCACAAAAAACTCTCTGTTGAACGTATGAAGTCTGATCGTCGTAAGTTTCCATTAGAGTGCGTATAAAAGAAAATATGATTGGACAAAACGATGCTATATTGACAATTTGTGATGGTAAGAGTGACGGCTTTTTCATCTGTCTCTTCCTTTATCGCTAAATTTGTTCCTTGGCTTTGCTTATAGCGCTAAGACGGAAGGAAAATGGATGGACATATAATGAATCCCCATTGGTTTTCTTATTTCTTGGTTCATCCGAAGTTGGTATGTCTGTTAAACTACAGAAAAATATGAAAAATTTCAGCATCTCTGCAGTACAGAGATAACATTCACTTTCTTATTGCCGAGGTGTCCTGTTCAAAACTGCGGTTCTGTAGTTCTCACTGCAACAACGCTCTTATTTCCTTTGTCTATACAGGTAAAACGGAATTAGCAAAACAAATTGCACGTTATATAAATACCAATGATGCTGATAATAAAGAGAAAAATAAAACAAGTGAACAACAACAGAAAAAAAAGATTCTTTTATACGTATTGATATGTCTGAATATCAGCATAAACATGAAGTATCAAAATTGATTGGATCACCACCTGACTATGTCGGATACGGAGATGGTGGACAATTAACTGATTCATTAGCAAAATGTCCAACAGCTGTCGTACTGTTTGATGAAATTGATAAGGCACATCCAGAGATTTTGACAATTATGTTACAATTATTTGATGAAGTAAGTAGAGAAAAAGAGCTATTCTGAAGCAGACTGCAGCTTCAGTTTTTCACAAAATCGTACCAACTAGTAAATTGCTTTGATATTGAAACCTGGTGCCGATTGGTTCCGAGTTTCAATTTTGCTCTTACAACAAGGGAGAGAGCATTTTCGATACAGAACCCAAAACTAGTCTGGTCTGACAAGGTTTTTGTTTCAAACGTGCACAATCGAGAAGATTTTCTTGAGATTCTCGTCCGGTGTAGCTGAGTAGAAAACTGCGCGACAGTCGAAAAGTTATCTCAAAAGCATGAAAATTTTCAAAGTAGGCTCAGTTTTTTGAAACCATACAAAATATCCTCATTGAAAATTTTCTATCTCATCTAAAAACAATTTTTCAACTTATATGAGACGAAATTAACGTTCAGATTCTTAATCAGCACCACTGATAACATTTAAGATGTATATTTCAAGGCAAAAGCGATTTCTCAGAATGAACTTCAATGGCACATTTTCAGCTAAGTTTGTCAAGCAGTTAAAGGATTCTAGCTATAGCGACTACAATCAGGAAACAACGAGAAAAATTTCACGTTGTTAACTGGAAGAATAGACTCGCTCCCTACAACATTATTGTAAACTTATTCGTTGCTTCTGTTTTTCAGCTAAAGTTTTTCACAGAAAGTCTTCAGAATCAAGTGTTGAAATTAAAGTTGCAACTTTCAATCAAGACCATCATTATGATTGAATTTTTGTCTGTTCTTGTCGTGTTTTAAAAGGGCCGTCTAACAGATGGTAAAAGTAAAACAGTTGATGGTAAACAAGCAGTCTATGTACTAACATCAAATTTAGCATCGGATGAAATTGCAGAATATCACAAAACGTCAGACAAGCAGAAGAAATAAAGCAGAGTTCAACAGGAGTCACAGCAGGTACGGAAAATGTTCGTTTATTAGTAGTCTGAGTTCCCCACGCTATTCAAAGTTGAGACTACAGTCTCTCTGTTTCTAGAATCAAGCAATGCTCTCAGCACAAACCGTGATCAACAGCGTCTTACTATTTCAAAACAATTTAAAGATGATGTTTAAACCAATTTTAAAGGTAGTAGTGTATTGCACTGCTCTTCTCTGGCTCTGTACACAACACTTATGTACTTCCGTATTCTTTTCCATTTCTGTCTATACAATTTCTAGAAACATTTTCGACGTAATAAGTTCTTAGGCCGTATTAATGAAATGGTTTATTTTTTACCATTTTTAAAATCAGAAATCAACCAGTTATTAATAAAAGAGTTAGAATATTGGAAACAACGTGTAAGTAAAGCCCGCCGATATCATAGGTACCTTTTCCTTCCTTATACGTAAGTGAAACAAATCCTCAGATAGAAAAAAAGAGAAGCTTTCGAAATTATTCTGTTTTGAAATATTTGTGTTAGATTCAGTTGGAGTTATAGTCAACAGGACAACGGAAATCTAGTTTTCCTGTTAAAATGTGACTATTTTTTAGAGATTGTGTTATGTTTTATTGCGGAATATAACGACGTTAATTTGACTAACAGACAAACAAGGCTCTCATCGAAGTATTTTTAATTTTAAAATCTAACGAGTTCCATATCTCACATAATATTTCACTGAAAATATTAATATTAAATATTAAATTAATTTTATTGAATATTATTTGTAATAACATATGTGTGAAGACGAGAATGTATCGTAAATTTTGTAAGATTGTAAAATTTTAGTTTTTGTTTACCTGCAAGACTCATCCAATATTTTCGCTGATTTTTCTTGGTGCTTATCATTCCTGTTCTGAACAATCATCGTGCTGATTATTCCTATGCTGAAGTTTCCGTGCTGGAAATTCCTCGTGCTGAACTTTCATCAATCCGTCGTTGAGTGTGAAGACTGTATTATTGATATTGTCTAGTGTTGCTCATTTTGTTGTTTTTCGCTCACATCGATGACCTTGCCGTTCATTCTCACAAGCATTCCGCTAAATATTTGGATCGATTGTATGATCGGTGGGATGACTTCGCACACCGTTGTATA